GTGCTGCATCTGAAGCCGGCACTGGGACATGCCCTCCTTAAATTATCCCTCTTCTTACCCTTTTCTGTTAAGAAAATGGGCTTTAGAGATGTTAATCAGTTTACCCAAGGACTCTAGTAGTGGAACGGTATCTGGGTTTGAATTTTAGGTTTTTCAGACCCTGTAGCCCATAAGTTTTCTTCTCATCATGCTGTTACCAACAAAGACTTTATAAGTGCTTGTATTAATAGAAAATGGGCCCTTAGGAAACCTGTTTTGGTTTATTCTGTCATAATTGAAAAAAAAAAAACCATAATACAGATTTTGTGGATAGAATTAAGAATAGGAAAGTACTGACTTGGAGTGGAGGGGAGCAGAGAACCACAGAATTCTGTACCTGGAATGTTTCATGATGTGGATTCTGTGTGTAGTGTGGGGGAAAAGGGTGAGCTGGCTAGGATGTCAAGAAAAAAAGTCTCCCTTTCCCCTCCTCCTGCACCCCATGTTTTTAGAGGACTCCTGAGACTTTCCTGAAAATGGCACTGTGCTCAGAAATGTCCTGTCGTTTGTTTAAAACTCCCCAGTGGCACTTTAGATCTAGCCTCCTGTCTTTACATATGCAAGGGTAGTGAATTTAACCAGTGTGCTAGATTTACGGAGTTCCACACAATTTCCAGTACATTACCCGTCCCAGTGTATAGACCAGACACCGCTCTGTGGCAGTGCTTGGGAACTGCACTCTCACCAGTAGCTGGGGGTCAGGAGAAAGTGGGCTCTCACTCGCCCACTGAATGCAGAAGTGGCCTCAGCCTATTCTCTTTCCTCCCCTTCCCCCTTCCGTTTCTTCCTTAAGGCTGCTGTGAATGGGAAGATGGCGAGCTGGCAATTCTCTTAAGCCAAGCAGAATTCCTGTTGTGCAATCTAGTGGCATATAATCAGGAATACTATTCCTGCCATCACAGCATAATGCTCTTGTGTTACTAAGGGCTTCTGACGACCTTACCCACGCCAGGTTGTCAGATTTTATCAGGGGGAAATAGACTCCCTGTGTGAATGGGATAGCTTCCCTAATTCTAAACTTTTCTCTGTATATCTTAACCTTAAAGAGACTTAGCTCCATTTGCCCCTCTTACTACCTGGAAGGCATCCTGCCCTTTGAAAGCAGGCGTTCTCTTTCTTTCCGGGATCCTTCTGCATGCATTCTTTCTTGTGATACCAAGAAAGCACATTACTTTCTCTTTGCTGTCCCCCTTCCCTCTTCTGTACTGTTCTCTATGGTCTTCTGCTATGCAAATACTGTACTTATTTTTTTCTTACGATCTGCTATAGAATATCCTTTCTGGACTGTGGTTGGTAACTTCTAGCAGCCTCAGGAGAGAGACTGTATTCTTTTTTGGCAAATTGCTGGACTATGTTTATAAGTGAGTGTACACACAGTTCCTACAGGAGTAGGGTATTAACCACTTATGTTTTGTTGCCTTCTGAACTAGCATGGTATTCAGTTCTTTGGCCAGTACATTTAACATTCTCTATTCCTCTCACCCACAGCCACAGTGCAGTTACTGGGTGTTGTCTAAAAAGCAGTGGGCTCTGTGAAAATAGGGCCTTGTCCCTGTGATGCTCTCTATAAAAAACTGTCAAACGAATGAAACCAGGATAGCAAGAGCAATTGGCTGAGGACTTTAGGTAGTGAAAAATAAGGCTTCGAATGGTGAGCAGCACAGATCAAACTAGAAGGATTTGCATGTTGTATAAAGTACTGAATCCTATAAACAGTAGGGGGCCATTAAATTTATGTGTCTTATATAGAGGTGTAATTTGTATATGTCCAAAAAGTGCACACAGCTTGTGTACAGCTTGATGAATTTTTACCTATGTGTATATCTGTGTAATTACTGCTCAGGTTCCAGACAATATCTCCAAAACTCCAGATGGGGAGATTATCTTGACTCACAACATTTTGGATACCAAGTCCCAAGGTTGGTTTGTGGTATAAGCAGGACTGGAATTATTACAGCTGTTCCTGGGATTAACGGGTCTTTATACTTGAATAAAAACACTAACTCATATCATCTAATCATCTAATTGTGTGACAGAAGTAATAATACAGTGTGGTTAACATTTATCAATCATCAGCATGTCTTGGCACTTTATAAATATTTCTTCAGTTTATCTGCTCCAGGAGGGTTTGTTGCTGTCCTATTTTACAGATGCTAAAGGTCAGAGAAGTAACATGTCTCAGTTTCCACAGCTAGAAAGTGGCACAGTTAGTATCAAATCCAGCACTGTCCATCACCAGAGACTGATTTCTTGTTGGTGATATGCTACCTTAAATATCTGGTGCCTGGGTTTAAGTAACAGAAACATTATGTCTTCGTAGTGGGAGAGGATGATTATATACGTTACTTGCTACCTGCTCATGAAGAATGCTCTTTTTAGGCACATTGTGACTTGTGGCTTATAGGAATTTCGAGAGAGAAGAGGGTTTTGGATTCTGTGTCAGTCAGGGCCTGGAGTGGTGTTCCTTAGGATGAATTTTTTTTTTTTTTTTTTTTTTTTTTAACATTTATTCAGTTTTGAAAGGCAGAGGGAGACAGAGCGTGAATGGGGGAGGGGCAGAGAAAGAGGGACACACAGAATCTGAAGCAGGCTCCAGGCTCTGAGCTGTCAGCCCAGAGCCCGATGCGGGGCTCCAACTCACGGACCGCGACATCATGACCTGAGCTGAACTTGGCCGCCCAACCGACTGAGCCACCCAGGCGCCCCTTAGGATGAATTTTTATGAAGGAGAAAGATGCTTACAAAGAGGATGGCTCCTTAAAATCGATATATAGCAACAAGGTGATGGTCCCTACAGGTGCAGTTTGAAAACAGGACACAATGAAGATGAAATGTAGACCTAAATATCTAGAAATTCCAGCAATTAGTTTGCCTTAAAAATTAATATCAGTGAAACAAGTGCATGCCAGTGTTAGTTAGCTAAATGGCAAAATTTTTATTACGTTTCAGGAGCTAAGATGGCCAAAGAAAATGTGAAACTTAAATAGCCACTAAAAGGAAAACAAAATTTGTTTTAATGGCCCTCAAAGTTACTTAAACCCAATAATCTTCTACATACGTTAATGTCTTAATTCTGTCTCAACAGTAAAAAAAAAAAAAACAACAACCCTGTCACATCGAAAGAATTTTAGTTATTCATGATTAAAATATATTTAATATTTGTCCATTATTTTTTCAAAGTGGGAGGGACAGTGCAGCACATTTTAGCACATTTAGGTATAAACTGGGAGTAGTCAATAAAATTCAGGTTTTACAAGATGAAAAGCATGGCAGGAAGTATCCGATTCTTGCTGAGGAACCTGTTTCAGGAAACTAATCTTAAAAAGATGTAAACAGCATGCTTTTATCCAACTTGCTTGGGGAAAGACTGCAGTTTTAAGTTATTTAGAATAGTGGGCATAAAGGTACTATTTGTTGCCAGTTGTATCACTTTTTGAAGAGGTGCGGAGGCCAAAAAGTATAATCTCTGTTTTGATATCTGTTTATTTTTAAATGGGAATAGGGTGGTGATGGAGATGGATTTCTACTCAGAGCTGCTCTTGTTGGTAAATGTTTCTTTTACTGACTTTGTTGTAAAAACAAAACAAAACAAACAAACCCCTGCATTTAAGCAATTAAAGTTAATCCTAAAATATAAATAAAGTATGGAAAGTGTCCTTCAAAAATACAATATATGAGGTCATAGTAGTAGCAAGCAGATCTGTGTCTCCCTCCCACCCCCAACTCCCCAACCAGGAGTTTCTTTAGAAGTCTTGTTCAGAGTGCCTACTTCTGAGTAGCTTCTTGGTGTTTGCATACTACACATGCCGGGGGTTGTCACTTAAGAATGCTGTGTCCCTGGAGCCAGCAGGTCTAGCTGCCAGGAACGCTTGCCTGAAGAATGGCTGAACCCCTTTGGCTCTGGCTTCCAGCATTAAGCTGCCTTCCTCCAAGTCATTCCCTCAGATTTGGTAATGAGCCAGGGGGAAAGTAGGCTTTGAGGAAGTCAGTCAAGAGGGGAGAGCAAAGGAGATGCTCAGAACAAAAGAAGGATGATGTCAGTGTCCTAGTTAGTGCCCTTTTAAGAAGTGGGAAATAAGTCTCTTTGAGTCTTACTGTCGCTGTTGTTTTCTTTTTAAAACCTTTAAAAAACGGTGAAGTGTAATACACAAACATTTTTAACTGGCTCACTGAGATTCTTCCCTTCCTACTCTGCTACCTTAACTGTCCTTTCTTCTGCTGATTGCAGAAGATAAGTTGGGAGGCTTTGCTAACAGAGAAAGACAGAAATAGATGCTAGAGATGAAAAAAAAAACAAACAAAAATAACAGTGAAGGAGTAAGTTTGAGATCCCAGCCAAAAAAAAAAAATTCCGAAATCATGTTTCCTTATGATAATACACAAGGCAAATGAATGGGAAAAAACCAAGTATGAGGAAAGAAGGGGAGAAATGAAGGTGGGGTGTGGGATCTTCCAGGCTGTTTGTCTTCCTTTGTTTCAGACTCCTTTGTTCTTAGAACTGATGCTTACCCCTGGGTTGCAGATAGACTTGAATTATAACTGTGTTTTTTCTATTTTTATAAGACTGTGAGCACTGTGTGTGTGTGTGTGTGTGTGTGTGTGTGTGTGTGTGTGTGTGTGTATACACCCATCTTAGGTATATATAATTGAAAAAATTATATATAATTATGAAAACACTGCATTAGGTCTTTTGCAGTCTTCTTGCATATATCAGATAGGAGGATTCAGAGATATCAGTACGTTTTCTCCACTTGGAAGCTACTCTGAATACGTTTTATTCAGTTGGAAACCAACTGTAGTAGGATACTACTATTTTTGTAAACCAAATAAGGTAGTAAACATTTATTAAGGTTTAGTAGGAGAAACCTTAATACAATGAAACTATTGCTATTCATTCTGTATCAGTGAGATTTGATAAAGTTAATTGGTACTGGGGTGGGCAAGTAAACATAAATTTAAAAATGAGGTTATTTTTCTTACAGTCCTATTTTGTGACGGATTATGACCCAACCATCGAGGATTCCTACACAAAGCAGTGTGTGATAGATGACAGAGCAGCCCGGCTAGATAGTAAGTAATCTTCCTTTATTTGATAGTTTACATATCATATTTTTGAAAAGTAAGCTTGGGTGTTTTGCTAGGTTGCATACTACAATTGAAATGTGGTCTTGAAGCCCGTGTCTTTCATCAGCTTTGATTGATGAATCTGCATATTAGGATATTTGAATATTTAAATATTTATCCTACATATTAAGGTATTTAAATATTCCTCAGCAAATGTAATATAAAACAATAATTGTGTTGATCTTGTGCTGGTGAAACTAATCATGTCATGGTAACTAGTTGGAGTTGAATTTTTAGGGACATTTGGAAAGAAACATGAAGTTTCAGCCCTATCTACTTTCTTGCAAAGGTTAAAATGGGTGTAGTAAATATAGAAAAAGAGTCAATATTTGTCAACTTGCTTAGAATTTATAGCACGGAGGAGGCTTTAGCAAATAGTGTTTTGGGCTTGGCTACACATTACACATCTCCACAAAAGATAGCCCTGTTCTTTTAAGTTCGAGGATTCTTTCATTCAGAGAGATCAGTAAATAACGTTAGCGCCTGCTCTTTAAGGTGTTTGGGGGGAGTAGACCAAGGGATCTTTCTTGAATGGGTATCTTTTTCAGTCCTTTCTGTGGAGGAGATAAAACATCCAAGTGACTTTAGAGGTTGTCTGACTCCATCTGCCTAGATATATTTGATATTTTTAACTTTGTAATTGGTATGCTAATATATTCTAGCTTACAAAAATCAACTCGTACTGATGAAGATGACTCTGAAACTGTCTGCTGGGTGATATATTTGTCTCTAGTGTTGAGAATAAAGCACTAGGAAGAGAAGGCTTTTTGTTTATTTCACTGAGTCTAAAATATATACTCTAAAGGACCCACATTAATTGGGCCCTGCCCTTATGGGAAAGTCATTCATAAAATGAAAACACGAACACGGTTACATGTGTTGTTTTCTCTTTAGTTCTGGATACAGCAGGACAAGAAGAGTTTGGAGCTATGAGAGAACAGTATATGAGAACCGGCGAGGGTTTCCTGTTGGTCTTTTCAGTCACAGATCGAGGCAGGTTTGTACTAGTATTAACATGTAGATCTCCTGTTCATGTGTAGATCACTATTTTATTGAATTTGGATTTTCTTGTTTTTATAGAAAAAGGAAAAGTAATAAGGTACTAAATGGGCTGTGGAACTTGCCAAATTCTGAGATTTGAGCAAATTAATTTGTTTTTGTTTTAGTTTTGAAGAAATCTATAAGTTTCAAAGACAGATTCTCAGAGTGAAGGATCGGGATGAGTTTCCAATGATTTTAATTGGTAATAAAGCAGATCTGGATCATCAAAGACAGGTAAGAAGGAACTTTGCTGTTGGGAATCCCATTATTGATGATCATGTCAGTGAATGGATGTGTTTCTTAAAACCATTGAAAGTGCCATGATCAAGGAAACTTCTGAGCTTGGCAGTCTGGGTTTGGGGAAGTCAAATTCTCACATATTTTTACACCACACTTCAGTTGACTCTGTAAGCCCATATTTGTACCACCTCCATTCACATGTTCTTATTTCGTGAGTAATCACCACAACTCTAATTCAGTTAGCTCATCTTAAAGTTACCCTTACTTAAGGCCAAACTCATTCAGTGTTTTAAAAAATTTTTTTATACATTTATTTATTTTTGATAGCACAAGTGGGGGAGGGGCAGAGAGAGAAGGAGACACAGAATCTGAAACAGGCTCCGAGCTGTCAGCACAGAGCCCGACACGGGGCTCGAGCTCACAAACTGCGAGATCACGACCTGAGCCGAAGTCGGATGCTTAACCGACTGAGACACCCAGGTGCCCCATAAACTCATTCAGTGAATGCTAATTTACCTTCATCTAGAGAGTGGTTTTAACGTAAATTACAGTATTTGGATTTTCCCTAAGTCCCATTAATGATGGAATTTTCTGTTACTTCTTTATACTGGCTGGCTCTAACACCAGTAACCTGTAAGAAAAGAATATTTTTGGTATTTAGTTGTAGGCTGGATTATACTCACTTGTTTCTTTACCCTCTTATTTCACATTTAATTTTTAAAGTATTGGGCACCTTGTCTGCTCACGTTTTTGTGAAGGAGTAGAACAAGGTCAGATATGAATAAATGCAGGCTCTACATTGTCTTTTTGTGTCTATTTCTTTTAGGGCTTTAGCCTCTACCCCATATCTGGAATATAAGTTTTTAAGTTGTTTCTTAATTTTTTTTTGGCATTTAAGTTCTCTTTTGTTTTTATATAACTTTGTGTTGATGTTTTTAACATTTTGTTTGAAAAGTATAAACCTCAGGAAAAATGGGTTGATAATAGCATCGAGGACAGCCTTCTATTTTGTAGTTAACTATTTAAAGCATAATCTTTGATTTGTGTGCTCTATTTGTAAAATTTTGTTGAAGGTATATCAAGTTTAAAACATGGGCTTAAGGGAATGATATTATTCTAATGCTAAGATTTAGAAATGTTTACTCGTGATACTTAATGTAGAATAAGTTTTACTGCTAGGTCCTTTTCACATCTGAATTATTACAAAGTTATGGTGAAAAAATTTGATCTTCACTTTAAACAAGTATAAGTGGTTTGAAATAACTTAGAATACAGCACTGCTCACATCTTAAGCCTAGAGTATAGAGTACATTTATTTTTTAATTCCTTTTTGGGGGGGGGTCATTTCCTTCAGCGTTTCTGAACCTAGTTATATTTATTAAATGTTGCCAGTAGAACCTGTCTGCTGCTCTTGTCAGTCCTTTCTAATACTAGAAACACTTTTCTATGTTACCGAATCTGGGAAATCCTAACAGAGGAGCTCTGTGGCAAGCAAGCGGCTCTCCCCCAATCTTAACACTGACCTCTACCCCACCCCTGAGTGCTTTCTGCCATGATTATGGAAAAGGTTTTTGTCAAACCCTTTTCATGGTCATATACAACTCTAGTAACAGACTAACTAGGTAGGAGGCCTGGGGTGCGTGGGAGGTCTCCTGTAGGGTAGGTGGTGGCTGGGAAAAGTAGGGCAGGGAAAGTAGGGGAATGTATGCCCCCCCCGCATAGGCCCTGCTGTGATGGGCTTGGGGCAGAGGGTCTGTATGCGTTACTCTTAATCCTCTATGTACCGAAGATTGCCAGTGTTTGGTGTATGGTTTCCATCTGTTTGCAGATATTCAGCACTGGCTTTGTTTCATGCCATAGGCTTACAAAATTTTCCATCTAGGTTTTTTTTCCCTTTTTATAAGAGTAAAGATTCTCCGGGTAAAATGAGAAACAAGGTGATGAGAGGAACATTGTAGGGGATGATAGGTTTCATATTTCCATCACCCAAAACATACGCACTTAGGCTGGAGTAAGATCTTCTGTATTCATTTCTCTGCTTTAAACCGTACACAGGATAAATTACCTGTAGCTGAGAGCTCAGCTGTGTATATCCCCAGGGGAGAAGAGCAAGTGGCTCATATCTGACTGCTTAATTTTTGCTCATTCCCGTAGATTCTACTCTGAAGGATGGGAGCCAAGAAAAACTTTTTCCTGTTTATGCTTCCTCTTCTCTTTTCTGGGTTCCCGCACACTCGCACTCACGCATGATGGCTGCACTTACAGGAGCCTTGAATACTGGCTGGCAGGAAATCGACCACCTTTCCCTGTCCATTCATTTCCCACTTGTTTTCATGCTTATTACTCACTTTCTCATTCTTAAACTTACAGTGCTTTATTCCCCTTCCTCACTCATGGCTAATGATGAATCATATTTTCCTATTTCACTGAGATATTTCTACATGTTTCCACCTCCACATAATACTAACCTAAGTGCACATGTACCCCATCAATTCTGCCTTTCCTCACTTCTGTGGATAAACTGTTTACCTATCTATGCCCATCCTCTCTAGTAGGCCCTGGGTCCCGCTCCTTCTCACTAGCTCATAGATGTCGCCCCAGCAATGGTTCTGTTCTGGTTGTTCCGTTTCTCTGCTGCATAATCATTCCCACAAGCATGTCATGCTACAGTGGCTCTCATCTTTAAAACAAAAAGTAACTACAGCAAAAGCGTGTTCTTAATCTCACATTCTTCTCTGTGTACGTTTCTGCTTCTTGTATCAAGCAAAACTCCTTAAAAGCGTTATCTACACTTGCTCTCCTCTCTTTCCTGCCATTCTTGCTTGCTGTGACCTCAGGCATGCAGCACCCCAGTCAAGGTCACCATTTACGTAGATGTCAGTAACGTTTGACACAGATGCTCATACTCTCATTTTTGAAACACTTTGTTTACTTAGCTCTGGGATACCTTAACCTATGCCTCCACTCTTTCTTTGCCAGTATTTCCTTCTCTCTCACAGGTATCTTAGGCCTCAGGTGCACCTTCTTCTAAGGCTCTAGTTGTACAAAGACCACTTTACCTCCCAGCCTTGAGAGCCATACACCGTGCATTTGAAGTTGAGGTGCTGTGCTAAAGGTTTTTACCTTTTTAAAGTCTCTTTAGAATTAAGGGTGTTGTGTATAATGTCTTGGTACCTTTACCTGCTTTACTAACAGCCTGGACAGGCCACAGGATCCATAAAAATTTCTTCCCCTGTTTAGAAATGTTGACTTTTTGGTCATCATCCTTAAAGGGTTCTTACTCAGTAACCAGTCTTATTTGCTCTTAGTTATTGACCCAGTTCATTCTCTTCTGCCTTTGTGTTAGATACAATCCTTTGGACTTTTTCTAGTTTCTTGCCAGTTTTCTGTTACATAGCAAATGCCAGTTCTCCATGTTCTTTGAATTTGTGGGTCAGCCCTGGACATTCCTATTATTGGTTCCCGAGATTCTGAACCCATCTGGGAAGAGGTCAAGCAGAAGAACTTTTGCTTATTAATAACTTGCTTTTGGCTTCTGTATCTCTGGATTTGCTCCTTCCTTCCTTCCTTCCTTCCTTCCTTCCTTCCTTCCTTCCTTCCTTCCTTCCTTCCTTCCTTCCTTCCTTCCTTCCCATCTCATCCATCCATCCTTCCATCCATCCAATATTTATTGAACCCTTTTCTAGACACTAATAACACGCAATAGAAAGAACAAAGTCACTGAAATTGTCATTAAATAAGAAGAATTTGAATGGTTAGAGTTACCACACACCGAGCCCCTTAGAGATAAATAACATTGATCATCTTGTTTATTCTATCTAAGGTGGAGGAAGAGAACACAGGTAGTTGACTTGCTTGTGCTTGCTAAAATGTAAAAGTAGGTACATATAATAGTATACTGATTTCTGAAATTTAATACAGCAGTATGTGTGCTTGGATTGTGGACTTTGCTGTATCTCTGATTTCAAGTTCCTTGTCCTTGACTCAGCCCTGTCTAGAAATGGACTGTTCTGTTCTTTTTGTGTTTACCCTTTCTTCCTCTGGCTTACTTTAGCCTCCCCCTCTCCTTTCCTCCTTGTTAGGTGCTAGTGGCCACTGTTAATTTGAGAAAGGAACCCATTACACTTAGGATAATACCCAAGTGTACTAACCCCCACTGTCTCTGTTTAGTACCTTGACCACAGTATGCCCCTGTAGCCTCCCAGGAAAGGACCTCACCCCTACCCCCAATAGTAGAGTCAGGGTCCTCTTCTTGCCTTACCTGTTTTTGCCTTCTCTGTATCTAAAGATCTGTAAACCATTGAATGTAAGTAGCATGAGGGCTTCTCAGTTTCGATCAGTTTTGTTCATGCTTTGTCCTTAGTACGTAGAACAAAGACACACACTCAGTAAATATTTGCTGAATTGAATGATTCAAGGCATCAGTGAATCAAGATGTGGTATTAATTTGATGATTCTTTCTATACAATAGGCATTTAAAAAAAAACCACAAAAACAAGTTTTGGTTCTGTTGGTCTCTTCCTATTAAACCCAGTTTGTTGGATAAAACTGCTCTCATCATTCATATTTGCTCCTCTCCATTTGGAAATACATAGTACTAGATATACTCATTATTGTGGATATCTGCTAATATTCATTTGTGCCTTTGAAGTGAGGGTCACTGGAGGTTCCCAGATGTAGGTCTGTGAATTTGTTATATCAGATTCACCTTTGTTGCTTAAAACAGAACATTTCTGGGTAGTGCTGACCCACCAAATTAAAATATCCAAGAGATGAGGTTTAGTATTTGGTATCTTTATAGAATTCTCTGGGTTGGGGAACATCTAGGAAATCCTTATTTGTGTAGCTTTTCAATCTTCTGTTGATTCTGGCTTCATAAAGCTTTGGCTTTGTTCCATGTAATATTCTTTTGGCTCATTTTTGTGTTTGCTTGCTCTGGTGGTAACAATGCTATTTCTACTTCTTAGTTACAATAATGCTACTCCAGTGAGCTC